GTGGGCTGAAATTTCAGTTTCAGCTACTAAATTCCCAATTTCAATTATGCTATTCAGATCAGGTTTTTAATGCAAGTTATTCAAGTTGGGCTTCAGATTCAGCTCTAAATAATTCAAATCATTTCTACTGACACAAATATCAGTCCCATATTAATCCCTTTCTTGGTTTTGTGCAATACCCTTCAGGCTTCAGGACTTTGTACAGTAGATGGCGTAGCTTCCTTCCTGGTCCTTCTCCTCTTCTTCCGCTCTTGGTGACCTTTAGAGACGGCTTTCTTGGAGCCCTTCTTCGGAGCTTTGGGAAGGTTCGACTATGTTGGTTTCCCTATTGACGAAACGACGAGGACGCTAGTGACGTTGTGATCGTGTATTGTGAGTGTTCAATGTAAATGAGACTGAGCATGGCGCAGGCAGGCAGTTGGCAGGTATAAACATTGCGCCTTTTTTAATTTAATTTCAAAGGTTCATCTTGATTACAATTCATGATGTGAGGTTACAGATATAGTATACTTATATTAACAGTATAACAAACATATACAATAAAACAAAGTAAATGAAAGTCCAAAAATAACAAATAAAACTTTAAAAATATATATATTACAATTAGTAAGTATTTTAATAATACTTAAAATGTTTGATGTAATCTGTTCCAACAATATGTTTGAGTTCAAATAACTTCTGTCATTACAGTGTAGGATCCGTTGTAAATAAAGCGACACTATTTATATTTATCACCAATCAGAATCAGATCAGAATCAGAAAATACTTTAATAATCCCGTGGGAAATACTGAAAGTGGGTACAAAAACAGAAAACAAAGGAGATTGGGAAAAAAACCCTCCTAATACTCTGCCCATTAGGGGGAGTACAGTGGGACTGGGAAAAAACCTCAGCCAACATAAAGCACATGTAAGCACACTTTACAACATAAGAACTCCAAACAACTTGCAACGGGGGAGGTGGGAAAGGGGAGTGGCTACAATCTACAAGCTGTCAAATTAAAAAGGCCTCAACACAGATATCTAATGGCTCAGTAGCACCCTGCTGTGATCTAATGCTGTATGACACCCTTCAAAAATGACATGCACACTAAGAAAAAATGCTACAAATTACACTTTCTATAGCTGTATGTAAAAGTTAATCCTTGACCAACATTAAAATTGAAGAGTGATAATTGATCAATGTAATTTATGAAAATATTATAAAGTATAAATGTTTTTTTCTGTTCCTTCTCCTGTGCTCAGGTTTGACTTTTTACTTTATACTGTAGGCGACTATACATGTAGTGTAAAAACTGTACAGATGTTTATGATGCTTTTATGATGAAAAATGTCAACCAAGACTTCATTACTAGAGTAACTACTACATATTTACCACTTACAGATAGCAGACTTACTGATGGGTACCGTACAGTAACGGACATCAGCAGTGAGGTGGCCAAACTGCAGGCTACTTACAACGCTGCAATCCAAAGCAGGGATGAAGCCAAGAAACAGTTGGCAAAAGAGCTCGGTGAGCAGCAACTTACCAAGTGGGAGCTTGAACACCAGAAGAGAAGAAACACTGACTATGAAAGACTGGCTGACAAAATTCGAATGGAAATTGCACCGTTGAAATCCCACATGCCAATGATTGGTGAGAGCTCTTTTTTTTTTTTAAAGGTTACTGATTGTTTGTATTATTAAGCTATACATACATAATTATTGTGATTCAACCAACAACACATCATGTTTCTATTTTCTTTGGTAACAGAGGAGGGCTGCAGACACTGTTTACCAGGATGGACTTTAATGAACTCAGTGTGTTACTACTTCGCTCTCTCTGATGCTATGTCACGCAGATCGTGGCAGGAAGCCAGACAGTTCTGCACAAGACAAGGAGGCGATTTGGCAGTGATAGACAGCAGAGAGAAACACGTAAGACTCAACATTTAGTCAACACATTGATGTTTCTGCACAAAAATCTTGATTTCCTTTCTTGTAATTATAATTTGTAAACACTTTACATTTTATTTCTGAGCAGAAAGTTTTGTTACATAGAATCCAACTAAATAAATGAATTTACTCATGTGTTTGTGCATTTCCGGTATTGTCAGATGGCAGTAGCTGACTTGATAAATAATTATCGAGACCCTTTGAGACCCATAACCCAGAGTGGCTTCTGGATTGGACTAACGGATGTGGAGGAGGAAGGGACTTGGAAATGGCTGGATGGAACAAGACTGACTGATGGGTAACAGTTACAGATAAATAACTGCAGTCAAATATTGTTATTGTAGGAACTGTCAGGTTTGCACATTCACATAATTACAGTTGTGGCTATCATCTATTTAAAATTAATCCAAATGAATCACTGATTATAATTTACTATCGCAAAAGCAGTTATTAGTGCTCAACAAAGTAACCTATCATTTGTTTCAGGTACTGGAATGATGGCGAGCCTAACAACGTTCATGGTAATGAGGACTGTGCAGCTGCCTACCCCAGAAGCAACCCCTTTAAGTCCTGGAACGATGCTCCATGTACTTATGAACTGAAATGGATTTGCGAAATGGCACCAAAGTCTGCGAGTTAATGTGTGTTTTTTTAAATCACATTTGGTTTTTGTTTAATTATTTGAATGAAGAATTAACATCATCTCAGAGACCTTCACACATCTTGTGAATTGTTATTTTTTATTGTCACATCGATATTTGTTGGGACTACAAAACGTCAAAAAAGATTACAATATGAAAAATACATCTGATTTGAACTGTAAAATGTAACATAATTATTTCACTGTAATAAATAAAATATTTACCTTTACTATATACATGTTTTACTACTTTACAGATATGTACACTAGGTTACCAGTTCATCAAGAATACACACACTTTTACATAAATTATACATTCCTACAAGTCATATGTTGTGTGACAGAGCAACATTTTAAAAGCGTAAATTGAGATATTAAGTTAATCTTACAAATGTAACAGACATTAATCATGACATAGACAATTAAAACTAGTAAACGTTAACTTAACCACCAGAGCTAAGCATTTGGATTCTAGCAATTCCCTAACGGCTGTCATCTTGGCTTTTTCACACCCTGCTGTTGCAAGGATTTACTCAGAATGATGTGAAAAAGGAAAGACGTACATACTACGATTCTGTAGTTAAAAACAGCCAGAAAAGTGAAACAGACATGCCTGTAGTATTTCTAATGCGATACGTCCACTCTGTTTAACTATGTAAGAGGTGTACCTGATAAACTGGCAATTTAGTGTATATGTACCATTTGATAAATAAACACAAACAAAAACTAATGCTCATTTGTGGATTTCCATGTCTGACTAACTTGCCAATCTTTGAGCATTTCAATAACTTTGTATTTTCAAGCCTGCAGTGCAGTGTCTCTGATCTCTGACCAAAATCTTTTTAAACCACACCTCGCTTCCTAAACATGCTGGTCGGACGCTCACAGCACCGCAAAGTGCTGCCGAAGTTGTTTAAGAAGCTGTTGCGTGTCGACGTGCTCGGGGAAAGCATCCTCCGACTTTTGGGCCGCAGTGTAGCTGCTCTGAAGGTCTCCGATCTGGACACAGACAAAAACATCAGGAAGTGTGTCTCTTTAACTACTGTGCTCTTTTAATTGTTCATAGTAAATAAATAGTAATAAATTACCTTTTCAGAGAGAATGGAGAGATTGAAGTGTGGCTCATACATGTGAGGGGCCAGTGATTCAGCAGTCTGCAGGAAGGCTTTGGACTGGATCAAAGATAAGAAAACCATTAATACTGTCAACAGTATCATATTTCATCAAAATTTATATCAAATAAAATCTAATTTATAAAGCACATTTAAAAAACCATTGCAAAAAACTTTAATGGTTCTTAAATAAAAGGCTGAGTTACATCTTATTAGAGGGTCTAAAAGGACACCAATATGATCTTATACCTCATTTTAACAGTGGAATAAAAGCTATATAACTCAAAGATATGTCACCTGTTCGATGCGACCTTTGCGCAGCTCCAGCACAGCCAGGTTGTTGTAGGCCTCAGCATGGTCATTATTAAAAGCCAAAGCAAGTTTAAAACACTGGTAGGCCAGTGTCAAGTCCCCAATGCCCTGTAAACACAGAACACACACACTTTGTACCAACCTCTATTTGTATGTTGTAAGATTAGGAGTAAATATTGAATTTATTTTAACTGTAACCCATATAAAGAGGGCATACATATGATTAAATCATCAGATATTCTGGAATTTTTGGGGGATTGTTAACTCACCACGGCCACTTGTCCTATGTTGTACCAGACATCAGCCTGCTCTTCATCATTGGCCACCAGGGCCATAGCCCTCTCAAATGAGGACAGAGTCATGTCGTACTGCTGGGCATAGAAGCAGCACAGGCCCAGGTTGTTGTACAGCTGGCAGTTATACACCCCCATCTGGAGGAGCCGTCTAGCCACAGGAGAAAGGAAATAAATTCCCATCACATACACAGTAACAACACATTGCATAAAATACACATAAAAGCTTAACTGACCTGTAGAAGCGCAGGGCGATCTCAGGCTGGTCAGTGTAGAAGTGATTGCTGCCTATGCAGGCTATAGCCTCCACGTGAGTGTTATCCTGCTTCAGGACATCTTTGTAGTACTCTGTGGCTGATGAAATGTTGTTCATCTCCTGTGACAATATCACAGTGCAGACAGTACATATGGTTTCTTGTTTCCTTTTGGCAGGTGTGTCTGGACAGAGGACTAAGTGGACTCTATAGTAAGGACCATGGTGACATACTGTACCTCATGTATGCGAGCGATTCCTGTCAGAAGGGTAACCTCACCAGGAAAGTGGTCCAGCCCTTGCTTGAAAAGGTTGAGTGCTGTTATTGGTTGATCCAGGCGCTGATACACCTAAAGGAAAACACACAGAAAAAGTTCCAGTTTTCTATTGTGCTACAGGTCGGTAACGTGATGTCATGTCATGATGTCTCCATCGCTACCTTTGCGAGGTAGAGATATGTATCCACCACCTCTTGCTGGTTGAGAGCTGATCGAAACTGTTTTTCTGCCTCTCGATATAAACCAAGCCTGCAAAGGCAGAGACATGAATCATCACATAGATTATGAAAATGCTACTTGATTAAATGTCAGAAATGTTGAGCTGAAACATTGTGAATGTTTGAGAGTTACTTGCCTGTAGTAGCATTTCCCCAACTGAACTTTCCACCACCAGTCTTTGAACTGAGCATGTTCAGTAGCTTGAGCAGCCAAATCTAAAGCCTGGACAAGAAATATAAAGTTTGTGTTGCATGAACAGACAATCTTACAATGTAATGCGAACCAATTTGCTTTATAACAGATTTAACACTTACATTTTTCACATCATTTTCATGGTGAAAGATGAATTCAAACAATGTCTGAGAAGAAAAATGATGGTTACTTGAGAAAAACGATGATATTGACAGATTTTTGTAAGTCACAGTTTCAGTCTTACCCTGGATAAATTAGGCTTTTGTGAATACTTGGCCAGATTTAGTCTCGACAAGTTTATAAATGGTCCATCTGGATTGGTTAACATAGAGGCCTGGAGAAACAGAACAAAATGTCACGCTTGAAGTTTCAGGCATTCTTCACAATCTGTGTAGCAAAATAAAGCAGAACACTAATAGATTAAAAGTATTGGTTAAACAATATTAATATTATATAGATCAATAAAACACAAACATCATAGGGGGAATATATTTTTAAATGAATGAAAAAGTTCATTTGAAGGATAATACATACTGTGTTTCAAATATAAGAGCTCTGACGAGAAAAGTATGACTGTATGTCACATGGAGTCTCTCAGTTGATAGAGACTGACACAATTTCAGACATATTTACTCACTGTTCCCAGGCGGATGAATCTGCCAGAAGCACTAGTGACAGGACGAGCAGTGCTTGCAGTGCGGGGGGTCTTGATGGCCTGCTCCATCGTCCCAGGACGCCCTGACTGTGTGCTTGGTCTCACAAATCCAGTAATAGGACGCCCTGATTGTGTCATAGGCCTTGAATTCAGAACAGAAACCTCAGATCAGGCATTTCTTTTGTTCTTTAAAATGTCATCAATAGTAAAACTTCAAGGCATTATATGAGCATTGACTGGCAGATGGTACCTGACAGCCGGCGTTGGACCCCCACCCTGACTTGTTCCAGGGAGCCTCAGTGATGTTCCGGGTCCTGGAACAAAGCAAAGTCTCATCAATTAAACACATTTTCTTAACTTTAAGGCACTGAGAAGAGTCGAAACTTACGTGCAACTTGAGCAATGGAGCTCTCATCCAACATCATCTCAGCAATCCCCTCCTGATCGACCTCAACTTCATCTATGTACACCATCTCTGTAAGAGCACGAGTTTTCAAGCTCCAGGCAGCCTACGAAACACACAGTGTTTAAATTATATAGCTAGATGGCCTTCATATAGTGGTGAAAATGTTACATTCATGTTGAACTATAAACGTGAAAAAGGAAGGAAAGGGATGGCAGAGAGGGGCAGTCTACAGTCATGGTTACCTCTGAGATAGGCAAGGAGGAGTCCTTAAGACAGCATGCAGTGGGTTAGTGAGAAAAGAAGAACGCGGAGAACAGATGTGAATAAAAGGGGGAAATGAGAAAATGAACGGAAGACAGAGCGCAGAGGAAATCAAAAATAAAATGTGAAAAAGAAATGCAGCGTAGTTAATATGCTCCAGCGACAACTGGGATACATGCTGATTCAAAGGCGTACCAGAAAATACAACGTTACCCTAATTAAATGATGATAAACTACAAAGATACTCAGGATTATAACGTTACACCAGGATTACTACCTCTTCCCAGCGCTAGCACACAAGCTGGCTTTTCCTTAATGGATAATCGTTAGCATGCTAGGCTAGCTCAGCTAACTTACACCACTGTACCTGGTCGTACGGGCTGTCTTGTAATATTTTTGTGCAAATATCTGAACATTGTTGGAGCTTCCTCCTCCTGAAATAGCTCCATGCCAGAAACAAAGGGTCCATTGTAACCTCCATTGCTTTGGTTGGACAGAAATATGTGTAAAAGTCGACCAACAAGATGATAGCGAGGCCGAAGCTTCCTCTGTCGCTGGGCAACGGCGGAGGAGGGCGGGGCTTCACTGCCGTCATTTCCTCTCAGGAAAATAAAACTAAAATAAAACAAAATAAAACAAAAATAAACGGATAAAATAAATAAATTAAAATAAATAAAATAAAACAAAAATAAAACGGAATAAATTTAAAATAAAAATAAAATAAAATAAAACTAAAATATAACGGAATAAAACTAAAATAAAAATAAAATAAAATAAAATAAAAATAAAATAAAACGGAATAAAACTAAAATAAAACTAAAATAAAATAAAATAAAACTTAAAATAAAACGGAATAAAATTAAAATAAAACTAAAATAAAACTAAATAAAGTAAAATAAAACTAAAATAAAAACAAAATAAAACTTAAATAAAATGGAATAAAATAAAATAAGAGGAAATTATGCGATATTATATTTATATTTTATATATATATTCTTTTACAATTGTAACGGAACACATGGTATACAGAACAATGGTTAAAGATCATGATTAGGTATAATATAAAAATAAATAGTCCTTGTATTATATATATATATATATTATGTATGGTACACACCTGAACAGACTCAATGTAATTTCCATATTCAATAATGAATAATAGGCTATACGTTAAGCTTCAACTTTATTCCTCCAGAATGCTGTTGTGTATGAACAGTCCTAAAACCAATGTTTTACTGTGTCAAACAAACCCTAACCTTATTAAATGTATTTTTAAAATATTTTTTACTGAATAATATCAACGAATATAAAGACATTTTTCAGCAGCTAGATAAATAATGGACTAAGTAAAAATAAAACATAATATAGCTTTACATGGGTTAAATAGACGAGCAATAATAAAGAAAAAGGTGAAAAACAAATAAACCCTAGCCTTGTGTACGTGTAAGTATTTTTTAATTAAAACTATATCTATGTTGCTCTACTCGTGTAAACTTCACACATGAGCATTATTAGTTATTTAATAAGAGGTTGTTATCCAGTTTAAAACATTATCCTAGCATAACTTTTCCACCCGTGACGGAGTTGTCCTCTCCTGCCATTCCCCCTCGAGGGCGAGTCAAAGCATCCGATTGGACGACAGGCTGATCCGTCATCTTTGTGGGCGGTGCTTGCGGAATAACAGCGCAGCTCCATCTTTGTAGGATTTGACAGGAGCTTTGACCTGTGTCGAAGAGGGACCGCAAGCCCGGCGCTGAAGAAATACAAGTACATTCTCCCAATGAAGACAGCGGCTTAGAAAACCGGTGCAGTTAAATATATTGACAGAGAGCTCTCCTCTCACCACACAGCGAGACTCTACAACTCACATGAGCCCCAGAAATGCCTCATTTCAACGCTCTCCCTGCACGGGTGGAAATCCGACGGAACTAATGGGACACACGGGCTTAAAATAAATCCTTTTTGGTGAATGACACTTTATCAGAAATCCTACGTGATAGCGACAGAGAGACACACACGGAAGTGCGGACATGGCTGACAGAACTGCTCCCAACTGCCACCTGAGACTGGAGTGGGTGTACGGATACCGGGGACATCAGTGCCGCAACAACCTGTACTACACCGCCGCCAAGGAAATAGTCTATTTTGTCGCCGGTGTGGGAGTTGTGTACAACACCCGGGAACACAAGCAGAAATTTTACCTGGGGCACAACGATGACATAATCAGGTAGTGTACCGGGGACACTTTGGTTTCAGCACCTCGGACAGCAACCAGCAGCCCGTACAGCAGCGCATGAACTGACGCTGTAGTGTTGTCATTGAAAGGTGCTGGTGTCACCTTGTGTAATGTAACATGATATTTCTGAGCTCCATAGGGAACTCAAAAGTGGGCACACGCCTCACTCAGCAGCATCCCCGGAGTTTGCATGGGCTCACCAGTGCCACTCCAGCCAGGGCAGATGCTTCTAACAGATTTAAGGGTGGTCTCTCTTTCTCTCTATCTCTCTCCCTCCCTTCCTCCCTCACTGCTGAAGATTACACTGCTGCCACTCCTCACGTCTTGGAGTTGCAGGGCTGCTAGATTATTACGTTAGAGTGTTCATTTACGACAATAAGACACTGAGAAACGCAGCAAATACGCTCATCAGAGAATATAATAGAAAATAAATTGCATTTTCTTGCTTAAAATGTGGCTTAAAGTGATCTCTAATCTCTAGATTGTCTAAACTATTAACATTTCTTTCTTTGGTGGAGTTCTCAGATTGATGGCGCTCCTGGTTTAACCGCTGTCTGGTGGAAGGCACGTTTCAACATATTTTAAAAGCTTTTTCCATAACAGCAGCATGCATGTCTTGTCTTTCCAGCACTCAGGGAGCAATAATACTAAAAATGCACTTGAGCCTAGCCGTCCTTGAAGGGATCCTTGCACTGGAAAGCTGTCTGTGGGTTGTGTAAACTCATCTCTGCGTGGCCAAACAAACCTTGAATCACCTGCTCTTTGATAAAACATAGCAAATGTAACCCGTGTTACATCACACGGGATGATCCTCCTGCCTTTCTGACTGTTTCTCAGCATGCCACACAATAACGACCTGTGTCCAACGCTCCAGCGCTTGTGTTGACATGTGTGTGTGTGGGTTGGCCTGGAGATGACTAGCATTATATACTGTGTCGGTCGTCAGCTGGGCTCCTGCTCCATTATTAATGGGACAATAGAGATACTCACCCGCCGCTGCCCTGGGGGTGAAGTGCCTGAGTTCAAACACTTAGCTGGAGGAGTCACTGACTGAACCATAGTGTGATGTTTGATGCAAAAGTATAGCATGAATTAGTGATGTATTGGTAAATCATCAAATTGGTCATCTGTGCGTCTGTGTTGCGAGCAGATTTGGAAGGATTCGGTCAGATCAGGCTCCTTATGGTGTCATTTGGTCTTCTGTTGCCACCTGATCTTTTCTGCTTTAAAATAGATCTATCTAACAGATCTTTGAACGTATTTACAGTACAAGCTACACAGGTCCCTCGAGCTGTCTGTTGTTGTTGAAACAGACCAGGTAATAGTCATTTTAAACTCAGATCTCAGAGGAGTGCTTGTGAAGCTCCCATAAACACTTGCTTTGACTTAGACTGCTATGGCACAACCAGGAGCAGCCCTCAGCAGATTCAGGGCTGAATAACTGTTGCACTGCTCTCACGTTGCACTAACTCATGTGGAATAGATGCAGCCCCCTCAGATAACACTACGACTCCAATCCCTCTCTCTTTCTCTTTCCCTCTACGTTGCTCTTATTTGTTCTTTTTCACGGCCTATTTTGGTTGCTGCTACATTTTGTTTTGTGAGCTTCATATACGTATGTGGTGTTTTCACTTCATGGATTAATTGGTTCTCCCTCTCTGATTGTTGCCCTGCAGCTGCTTTTAACTGGTCTCCCAGTCTGATGAGCAGGTTTTCACATGAACGAAAGGCTGAGCCGTCCATGAGAATGCAAGATAGTCTGGACTTTCTTCGCTGGTCTGACACTTTAGTGCTGCCTTTTAAGCATAGTAAATTCACAGGTTATTGGGCAATGACATAATGTACTGAGAATGTTAATGTGCTGTAGTTTAAACACTATTCCCCTCGAGCCGTGTTAGTGAAATGAGTTGACAATTGTAGAAACTGTTTGCTATTCGTCTCCTCACATTTCCCTGTAATTGTTCCACACTGTTGCAGCTCATATATTTATTCCAGTCTAAAACGCAAAGAACCTGAGGCTTCTGCTAAAAAACCTGCGGGAGTCCATACTGCAAAGCTTAATCTCTCCTTTTTGCAATCATGCTGACATGCAGGACACGCACTCACTGATCTGAACAGTACACACAAATACATTCAAAACACAGACATGCACACTGGAAAAATAAGCAGAATTGCTAGGAGAGGCTTTGAGTGTGTGATCTCTTTTAGTTCCCATGACTGTTGCAAAACGTCACACACGTCCAGATAAAGAAGGGCGGAGGATAAGCATTAATATAAGTAACACATGGACATTTTCGTGTCATCATTTGTGAGTAAAAACTCACAAAAGTGTGTGAGAGAGAAGGAGTGAGTAGTAGTGTTTGGTCCCATTCTTTGTCTTCATTAGTCTTATTTATCTTTCATTAGAAATGGTTTAAGTCCCAATGTTCTGTACAGTTTTATTAAGGCATTAGTTTTAAACACTGATGCATTTTCAGCTTATCCTATTTTGTAAAATTTTAAATGTGTTTATACTCATTAAAGTAAGACGCTAAGAATATCACTGGCAAAAAAAAAAAAGATAGCTAACTCTAGCTTCATTTTCTGTTACTCAAAAACTTGGCTTATTCTCATTCTTTGTTATGATAGAAAGTGAAAGCTAATGAGAGGGTGTTATGGACACAGGAATAAAAGGCCGTCTCATATTACAATATCTTGTTAACTTTATGATGGACCACAGCCAGAGTTAGGGATTATAGATGCTAGACGAGGCTGGTCTTGTTTCAGTGAGCTCGGAGAGATGCAGTGAATAATATTGCCCAATAAATTTCGTTAAACTCCTAATACATAATTTTCTCTTGTTAGAATTAGCAGGAAGTGTGCGTATGATAATTTCTGCACTCTGTGAACTGTATGAGCTAATGTGAACTAACTCTGCATATAAATGTGCGAACTAAAGTCAAAAGTACAAAAAAGAGTGTGTTTGATATGCATGCAATATAATATATTTGTGCTTCTAACACTGTTACTGTTGCACAAATTAAAGCCGTGCATGTGGAACTATTGACTCTGGTGTATCGGGTGAGTGTGTGGGAATGTGCTTACAGGCAATTACTGCATGAGAGCTAATAGATATGATTCACACATCTCAGTATCCACCTTCCTTTGCTTTTATTGTGAATTATTAGACAGTCAAGATTTGTAGTGACGTATTCCCTCAAACATTGTCTTCTGCTTACGTTTCTGCTGACTTTGGTCACTGTATTCAATTATTTATGCTTGCAAATGTAACCATAAGAGAAACTAGAAACAGGTCCAAAAAACAAGCTCTAGTTA